ACCACTTGGGCTCGTGCGTGGCCCTTGTTCCCTAGATTTTGCTTCGAGCATTCATATGGTAAAACGGGGCAATTCATCATGGCTTTCTATAAGCATACATCATATCATCAAGCCCTATTTCAGACCATAATCCAAGAAGAAAGATACAATATTAATTCAAACCCCACGAATGGGGAACATTCCCTATGCATATTGATAATGGTGACTCAAATCCATTATATATTGTCTTACATTTGGACTCACAATTCTATGGAGAGTTTTATCTTTAAAAAGGTTTTTCGAGGAGATAAGCGATACCTAATGTTTATAGGTTGCCTAAGTCCACGACACATAACCAATCTAGGATTATAGAATTGTTATAACATGAAAGATTTAATCATAGTTTGATATTATGGTAGTTTATTTTTTTTTTAATCTAATCATAGTTTGATATTATGGTAGTTTATATTTTTTTTAATCTAATGGCAGAAGAAAAAAATTTATTTGGTTAATCAAATAGCTTTTAATTTTTTTTATAGAATTTCATATATAATTGTGTTTTAACTTTTAGTTTTGTAGAAGTAAAAATAAAATATTTTTTATTTATGAAGACCTAATTTTTTTTTAAAAAAAATTTGGATGCAAAAATATATCTTACAATATATAACTATGTTTCAAATCTTAGTCTTATAAAAGCTAAAATAACATGTTTTTTTATTTATGAAGATTTATATTTTATTTATTTTGCATACAAAAATCTAACTTACAATAATTTTAGCTAAATAAATTTTTTAAATATATATTTTTTAAAAAACAACAACTATAAATATTATTCTTAAAGCTACAAAAAATCATAACCGTAAAACCTATCACAATATTGAATATATTTACAACTTTGACATTATAATAGTTTTTTTATTGAAGTTTATAAAAAATAAGTTTTAAAAATATCATAAACTGTATATAATTTATTTTTCAATAGAGGTTTCAATATATTTTTTAGTGGGACTCAAAAATAAATTTGGTTTCATATTTATAATAAAGAATATTGCAGAGCTACAAGCTCATGCAATTTATTTTGACATTTATAGTTTTATAATATTCCACTATCATATCATATCTATAACTTTCAAACTATTCTATATAACGCATGCTACTAATTATTAATTTTTTTTTAAAAAAACGAATAAAAGTGTGCTTCATTTCTTTTTCCTTAATTATTTTCTAAAAAATTGTGAAATAATTCTATCTTAATTAACAGGAAAATTATGAGTAATTGTACAGCTCATTATCAGATAAAATAAATTACAGATTAGAGCCAACAATTCATGTTAATTCATACGATTAATTACCTCTTCAATGGTTTAAATTAAATGATAATAATGTCATAATAAAAAAATTAATCTAAATCAAGGTATTTTTTCCAGAAAAAAATAAAAAAATTTATAATTTTTTTTCGATGTAATTGAAACTGAAAATTTTGTTGACTAACACTGGAAAAATTTACACATTGAGCTCTCTTTGTTTATCTAATGACACAATCTAAATGGGCAACATTTCCTGCGAATTTTCACAATCATAAACTGTTTGGTTCCTAAGAAAAACATCCCAAGAAAACAATTCCATCCAATTTCTCAGCATCCAAAAGGGCCCTAATTACAAAGAAAGAAAAGAAAAGAAAATATGCTCTGTTTGGCTATTCACAAGAACATTCAAAAGAAAAATCGATCATTCCCTCAACATCCAAACAGGTCCTTAATAAAAAACAACAGGGAACTAAAGTCGATGGTTATACATTGCAAATGCACCATGCGTAACACCATCACCACGAGTGCCGCCGCTGACATTTCGACTACCACGATGATGACGGCCACCATTAATTCTCCGCCCTCGGTGATTATTCCTTCTAATGCCACCGTTCCTGCCGTTCTGCCTATGGTTCCTTCCTTTCCTCCTCCTCGCTGGAAACCTGCCAGCCAGCGGAGAATTCAGCTCCGCAGACCCAATCGCGTTCGCAGGAGACCACGTCGCAGCCTCAAACGACGTGTCTTCGAATTTGTCCTCGAGTCCAGCAACAAGAATCCCGTCCAGTCCATGAACAGCAATGTCAGACCCAAGAAAAAGATCCGGAACTGAAACTCGAACCCGATTGACCAATATGGACCCATCAACGGTATCGTTTAGCTGAGCGAGAGAGTTAGTAATCAAGAGACGGTGGTTCGGCACCAATGAATCAATGTAGGTACCACCAGAGGCGGCGGTTAGGTTTCTCAAGTCTGACGTGGAGAGGCGAGAGGGAGACACGTGGAGGAAGAGGGATTTCGTATAGTGAGGAGCAGAGGAGGCGAGGTCAACATAGAAGAGAAGGGAGTCAGGCGGACAGAAGAGAGTGAAGGTTGAAGTTGACGTGGCATTACTTGATTGGTTGAGGAGGTGGAGGCGGAGATCGGATGTGGAGATGGCGTTGGGGAAAAGCGTGTAGCCGTATGATCGGAGTGATGAGAGGGCGCAGTCAAGTTCTTGGTCGGTGAGTGAAGCGGTGGTACTTTGGTGGAGGAGAGAGAGGAGGAGGAGACGGAGGAGAATCTTGGCCGTTGATTTGTTGATCATCAAGTTCTGGGGTCCCATTGTCTAGAGAGAGAGAGGGAATTCTTTGAGAGAGAATTCTGTTAAGGTAGTTGGGATCTTCAGTTTGTTTTGGCGGGGATTTTGAGTTCTTGAATGAGAAAGGTGAGAGAGATAGGGTGTGGAGGGGTTTATATTGGGGGTGGGAGTAGATTTCTAGCCGTTAGATTATGGATGGAAGATTTCACACAGATCCGATGAGAAGAATCATGAGATGGGCCAAGATTGGGCCTTGAGGATCTGAAAGTAAAGAGGCTTGCATCCTTCCAATAGTGTGTGTGGGATATTGGGCTTATATTTGATTTGAAAAAGCTCATAAAATATTAACATAAAAATTATAACGTTCATAAGATATCACAATAATAATAATAACAATAATAAAAATTAAAAAATTAAAAAAGTTTTAGAAAATATATTTTTTAGTTTGGTGGTTTTTTCTGGTTCGAATCAAACACTAATAATCCTTATTTTAAAATCTAATTTCACAAGTTGATAAGTGATTCAAGATTTAGATTTGATTAAATTTTAACAAAAATAAATAAAATAATAATTTAATATAACTTAATTCAAAATTCAAATTGATCAAAGATACAACTAATTTAAAAAGATAGTCAAAACTTAATGATTTTCTTTCATGTTTTTTCTAAAAATAATATTGTTTTATTTTTTTATAATAAAAACTATTAATTGACCCAAGTCAACCTACTTATCCCATGATCTTAGATTTGCCCCAAATCAAGTTTAAAAATTATTCTACTAACATGCATATTATCTTTTCCCTTCATGTACAAATTTCCAACCTCAATTATTCTCATTAATTATGAATAGCTTCCAATCATGATAACTATTGGTTAGTATTTAAGATTGTGGTATATAATACTTTTTAAAATAGTTTTTTACTTAAAAATATTTTAAAATAATTTTACTAGATTTATCTCATTAATCTATAAAAATATGTATTAAATTATTCATATAATTAATTTGAGATAAATCATCATATAACTACTCAAAACACTAAATATTTATAAACTCATTTATATCAAATTATTACTATCATGTTGTTAATGTTGTCAACTATTTTTTGACCTCTATTTGTTATGCAATCAACTTAGATAAAGCAAGTAAAAAATAAATTTTAAGAACACCACCTTCAATTTTGAAAGAACCACTATTAATACTCAATTATTCAAAACCAAACCTTTACTACCCTTTTTTGAATAAATATAATTTATTCTTACCTTTACATTTAACAATTCCCTCATCTCTTCTAGTCACTAGCACTATATGTTGTCCTTTATCAACAAATTCTTTCCATAATTATGTTTTTGGTTTGTTGTTAACTCTGATCTATGATCTATTGGTTTCACTTAGCATATCTGTTTTGGAGAGAAGCTGGTCTCAGATTACTGTTGGACCCTTCTCTACTGTACCGATATGCTCATAAACCTTTGTTTACAGCCTAAGAAGCTTTTTGCTCCATTGTCAAGGCCTTCTAATGTGTCCCCGAGACCTTCCATAAATATGGAAGGCACAACATGTCCTGCATGACTGTCATAGCCTACTTAGATATCTTGCCTTGACAAATGCATGGAGGATGCTATTATGACTGCTAAATCTTTAATATTTGTGTTCAGTAGACTGAATTTCTATAATATATTGGAATCATAAAAAAATAGATTAGGTCTAGATAACATCCAAATTAATTTAAATCAATGGCTACGGTGATTATTTTTATATTATCAGGATGAATACAAATAGTAATACTGTTAATTATACCCATGTTAACTATAAATTATTATAATGTCGTCATAGATGATAGCTGATGGGCTAGCAATAGAAGCTCTAGTTAAGAGACTCTGAACACATTCAATGGCTGTAAGTTTCAGCAGTTTTATGTCATTCTCTTAATAGCTGCTGCAATTTGTTTATAAATATGTCGACCTCAATAAAACAAAATAATATAATTAACTAAGTCAATTGGATTAATCAAAATTGCCGATTCGAGCACATATATATATTGATCAAAGATTAATTTAATTAAGTCTATTATAGAGACAAATATTAAAATCCTTGGAATGAGGAGAGCAAATAATATTTAATGCGAAGTAGTTGAAATGTCTTCATTAATTCATGTTCCATGATGATTAAACTAAAGTAAGAATTGGCCTTAAATTACTTAAACTAGTTGTAATTTGGAATTAATTAATCTTGAATTACTTTGAAAATTCACTAGAACAAAAATTTAGTATCATATTGCTCTTCCAATCATTCATAATTAGGCTATACGTGTACATATGAAAATCGAGCCACAAATATATAATATCTGGCTGGCAAGAAGAACATACTGCCTTTTATTTCTATATTTCTCAACATGAGAAATCAAGGATACATAATAATCAATCACATATTTTCAATACTTTGATCCCCTTCCAACGAGACTCCATGTAATAGGAATCATTATTTTGGGCATAAACACCACATTTGAAGGCATGAGATGTGCCCCCACGGCCATCTGCCTCTATTTTAAGGGTGCCATTGATGTAAACCTTTACCTTTGCCGAGTCAACATCATGAATAACATTTAGACGAAACCATTGGTCATAGATGTTTGGAACCAAGACTGGACCTTTATAGTACATGAGCGAGCCATTGTAAACCCTAACCATTAGGGTTGTAGCATGAGGAGCACTAGCTCCAAAAACTTGCATAATGCACACGCCTGATGTTCCATAGGGCACGAACCCGTATCCTTCAAATTGCCAAACCCCGGATGAATAGTTATATCCCTACAAGAAGAACAATGACTAAGCAATCTTGGTTAGTTTAGTTTATATATATATATATATATATATATATAAATATATATATATATAACTAGGGAAATGTATTAAAACGCCAAAACATGACGGGAATGAGGAGTTACAAATCTGCAAAAACACACAGATGTAGCGAAAGAACCAAACGAAGAAGAAGAAGAGGCCAAAGATCCACAAGAACAGAGCAACAGCCCTAGTATGCAGGTTTGCCTCCACACAAAACAGAGCTGCCAAGCTAAACTAATTTAGTTCAATTACCATGTCGTCGTCATGCAAGAAAACAAGGGTCTTAACCTCTTATGCAGGTTAAAAACTTAAAGTTCTGTTCAATATGTAGCTTCTAGCTATTAGTTAAATAATCTAATAAAAAAATAACACCCAAACCGTTTAGAAAGAGGTTAAAACCAACATAACAAAGAATAATCCAAATCTAAGTAAAAAAATAATTAAATACAAAAGTCTTGGATCTCGTAAATACGCGCGCCTGTATGTATATATATATATAAAGTATAGTCCGAGATCAAGTGTATATTTGATATATGTATCTTGAAGATCAAATTGTAATGATATGGGATTATAGCTCAAAAAACTATCTTTTATAATAGAATTTAAAAAAATTAAATAACTAGCCTTGCAATGAGCTTTGTGGCTCGATAGCACCCATGTTTCTCTTTTGATGAGTTATTGTGCGTTCGAATCTCTCCCTTGTAGCAAGAAAAAAAAAAGATCAAATAAACCTTCCAAATAAAAAAAAAAGTATTTTTATTAATCTCAATCGCCTAGGTAATAAAAAAGAAGTATTTTTATTAATCTCAATCGCCTAGGCGACTTGGGTGTACTGGGTTTATGTTCCATGAAAGGAATTAAATAAATGACCATCTCCATTATTTTACCCGATTTAAAATTATATTTGTGTGTAGTGTGTAGATAGTGTTTAATATTTTGCTACAGCTGGTCTTACCTGTATAGCTATCTCAGTACGAGGTTTTGTTTGACTAGTAAGAGTATGAGGCTTGTCCGTGGAGTAAACCCAGCATCTATGAACTCCGTTGACAAAGCTATAACGCTGATCTTCAGGAACATCGTAAGGCTTCTGAATATGGTAGTATGATAGATTTAGTGGGAGAGAAATGAAACCATTTGTAGGGTCAACAGGTCCCCATGCCACGGCTCTGTTTAAAATGGGATGAATTACAAAACCTAAGAAGAAGAAGAAGAACGCTGAAGCATCAAAGGAAAAATAAGCCATTCTTCCTTGAATCCTAAATAGCTAGGCTGGTTATAGGACAGTGGGGCCTTGTAATTTGTGAGAGGACTAATTAATATATAGAGGGCTGGGATATTAAGGGGAACGGTAGGGCCCGAAAAGTACCACTTGTAGGGCATTATTTGAGACACTTGTTTTCTTTTTGTATATTTAATATTATTTTATTTTTTATATATTTTTTGAGACAAATTGTTTCCATACAAAAGGGTGTTTTTATGTTTTCAAGTACATTTAAATTCGATATCTATTATCTAATAATATTACAGCATATCTCTTTAAGAGATTTACAATTCTTTTGAAAAGGCGAGAAAATCAATATCTATTATCTAATAATATTAAAATCCTAAAATATAAAGGAAAATAAAATTCAAAATAAAATTAGTCTGTCAATCTAGACTTAATAAAAGGCCTCTTCCAATGGTTTAAATAGTTTTATCACCAACCTCATCCATCAAGCAAAAAACATATGCAAATAATAAAAATAAAGCCACTCTATAATTTGAACACTTTCTCGACCGTCGCTGGTTACATGGATCCTCTTAGAAATATCAAAAGTTAAATAAGAAGTGATGGAGGAGGACGTGCACCAAGGACAACAGCAAGCATAGAAAAGTCAAAGAAGGTTGAAATATGGTTAAAACACACAAAAAAAAACACTTTGAAATTTTATTTTATTTTTGAAATATTGATTAATCATATGAAGTCTGCTTTTCCGGGAGTCCTACATTACATGTCTTTATATATATATATATATATATACAAGCTTGAAAGTGACCTTACCAAGGTAGAAAAAATCAAAATAATAAAAATCATAAAATTTTAAAAAATAACAAAATATTCAGAAGCTAACTGATGGATTAACAAAGTAGTCCCCCCTGTAAAAATGGTTATCAAGAATCTCCCATAAATATTTTGAACTATTATACTTGCTTTAGCACATCTTGGCGATGCCAAGTACTGGGGTCCTCGACAGAAAAATGTGGAGTCAAGCTGGTCCCTGCAGCAGCTTGCATCATGTTCTTGCATGACTTCACTTGTCCATCGAATTTCGTTTTCTTCCTAAAATAACATGGCATTATCTGCCACAAAAGAAACAATTTATAAAGCAAGTTTGGTAGAGATTCTTCTCAGTTTCGGTCTATGCATATAATGCTCATAAAACATTACATACGGCCGGCCTTTGCTAACTCATTATTTGTTGCGCTTATCTACATCACATCTTTTAGAAGTTTTATTTACATTACATCTTTTGAAAGTTTATGGAGAGATAATGGAATCATTAACTATTAACTATTATATATATATATATATATATATATATATATATTAAGGATATCTTTTATAAAATATCTTTTGTATTTTATCTGTACAAAAATACTTATTTAAACATAAAAAAAATCTCTAAATCTATCAAATTATTAAACCTTTTGTATGTATCAGTTTGCCAAACGATATTGACTTATTAGCTACCAACTCTCTTGGTTAGGAAAAATAAATTAGATTGCTAAAGTAAAAACATTAATTAATTATCTAATATATAAGTTTTATTTCTAAATTACTTGGATATTTTAAGAATATTGTCATTGTTATTGTTGTGGAAACCTAATAACAAAACCATTAATTTTTCTTCCAAAATTGATTTATTGACATTTCTAATCACCATTAATAGTAAATAATCATGACACTCTTGAAATAGAATATATAATAGGCCTCCCTGTCATAGCGAATATTTCTTCCTAACCAAACTTCTAATAGCTCGTCATCCAAATATAAATCCTTACTAAGAAAGTGCTAGCCATTTAAGAGAAAAATCAGGCCTAAAAAATCTGGTACAACAACATGGAGACAAGCTCTATTATGGATTTTAGTGGTTTCTATACTAAATTAATATCATGTTATAGTATTATTATACTATCTAAGAAGAGAGCTCTACATAACTCTTTTGGCATTACTCAATTAAAAAGATGATGATGCACTTTCTTTTGCTCTTGTTGATGGTACTGAGAAAGTTCCTTTAGAAAGAAAAACTATTTTAAAGATCAATAATGTTCCAAATTATATTAGAATGCATGGTTGGTTTACAATGAAAACTAGATGTTCACTATTTAGGAAATAATCAAAAGGCTATGCAGTAATTTGATCTTTTCAAGTCAAAGTATGATTTCTTCTACATTCTTATAGGCTTTGTAAGGAGCAAATCTAAGCTATGCGATTATCAATTTCATAAATATAGTTAGAGTATCAAGATTTAGAAAATATTTCAACAAGTACGAGAGGAATACTAGTTCAAACCATAAAACTTGTGAAGTATATTTGGGAACTATCTAAAGGAAAGTGGAAGTTTGTTCCTCTGCATCAGAGTTTTTGATTAGGCAATTAGTGCAAGTTTCTAATACATGTATGAGTTGTTCAAAATAACAATATGTTTTTATTTTATTTAGGTGAGCCTTAAGAGTCTCTTGCCAATTTTTTAGGGATGAATCTTGGATCCCCCACTCTTTAGTGTAATCTCAGATGAATACAATCTCTAAGTGATGCCTAAAGGTCTCACACCAATCTTTCCAATGCAATGTCAAAATGACCTAAAGGCCTCTCGTCAACTCTCTAAGAAATGGATGGGTTTGAGGCATTTTTATTGTGATGGCACAATTCTCACATGGTTGAACTTTGTCTCCCTAATGCGATAACATAACTCTTTTTGAAAGGGACTAATGAGTGATCTCTCTAATATGATAACACAATTATCCAATAAAATGATGGATATGAGGATTTTCTAGTATGATAATACAATTCTTCAAAGAATTGACTTAATCTTTCTAGTGCGATAACACAACTCTTTAAGTTCTTCTTAGTATGATAACACATTTCTTCAAGTGATAGACTTCTCTTTAGTATGATAGCACAACTCTTCAAAGGATGGGTCTAAGGTCTCCTTAATATATAACACAATTCTCTAAGGGATTATTTTGTCTTCCTAGTATGATGGTACAACTTTTCAAGAGATAGATTTAAGGCTTTCTTAATGCGAGGATACAATTCTCTAAGGATTGAACATACAAGTAACTTGCATTTAAATTGAAAATGGTAACATTATTGGGAAAGATGACAATGGTGATTTTTGCTTTTTATTTGTTATTGATGTTGAGATAAGGCAAGCATAGAAATGGACTCTATTAGGTTAAAAGTTTAATTTTAGGATATATATATATATATATATAATCCCAGGTTTCTTATAAGAATCTAACTCATGCAACCGTACCTAGTTATAGTAGAAATTAAAAAACAAAAAATAAAAAAAAATTCAAATAAAAGGTAAAAAAAAACCCTAGCGTTCTATTTTATTATTGAAACTATATTATCTGGTACTTGCCTGATGAATGATGATTAAAGCTTGTTAAATTTATGTCTAAAGCTAAACTTTAAGGAAACAAAAATCAGAATTCATAAAGAGATATAAGAAATAAAAACAAAACCCAAAATCCCAATTGAAAATCATTAATTAAACAAGAAAATAACAAATCTAAAAAAAATAGTATCTTTTAGAAATCATTTTAAGGTCTTTCCAACCTTATGTGATGCTAGCTATTAACCTAATCTTCACAAAATAAAATCAGTGGAATCTCCTAATAAAATTTAAATGGTTTTAATGATTAAATAAAAAAATTATAATTATTTTTGTTAGATAAATATTTTGATATGAATAAACTTTTTCTTGGAATTTGACTTGTCTACTAGTTATACTTGTAACTTTTCAAGAAAAGAAACTCCATAATATTTATATTAAACTTGACTAACAGAAACACAGGGGCCTGCTGTAAATATATCAACGATCAGAATCATGCCACATGTCAAGTGATTATAGGATGAAATAGTTAAAATATTGTTAGATAGTTAAAGTTGTTAATATTGATAGGCAGTTAAAAACAATTAGAAAAGTTGTTAAACATCGAAGAAAGAAGCTGGTTTACGCCTATAACTTGTGTTATAAATACATCTTCAATAATGTAAAATCAGTTAATGAAAAACAGTGAATATATTCATCTTTTTCCTTCAACTATCAACTGCTCTTTCTGCCTTCTTCATTTCTCTTCTTAAATTTCTAGAATTCTTTCATGCAATTTTGCTATCTTTATATAGTATTAGAGTTGTATTCTTCATCTGATGCTTCCGCACATCCTGCTCTATCTCTATTTCTTCTTTCATCAACGAATAATTCTTTCCAATTGTTTCTCTATTTTTTTTGCATTCTAAAAACAAAAATGGTGACATCTTCTCAACTCTAGATCGTCTAATCTCCTATAACTTCCTTACTTTTTACAGTTGCTACTGCTGTGACAATTAAGCTTGATGATACCAATTATCTCACATGACACTTTTAGATGCAAATCTTTCTTGAAAGTCATAGTATTTTAGGTTTTGTTGATGGTTATACGCAGTTTCCTAGTCGATTTAATGTAAACTCTAACCTTGACGGAACTAAAACTGATGACTATCAGGTGTGGAAAATGCATGATCGAGCATTAATGCAACTTCTCATTACCACTCTTTCCTCTACTACAATTTCTTATGTTATTGGATGTGTCAGTGCTTATAATATACAGATTCAGCTGAAGGATCGATTCTCTATAGTCACCAAAGCTCATATTTTTCAGATGAAAAGTGAGCTTCAGAATATTAAGAAGGGATTAGAACCAATTTCTCACTATTTATAAAAAATTAAAGATGCAATAGATCATCTTTCTACAGCAGGAGTTTCTTTTAAGGATGATGACATTGTGATATTGTCTCTTAATGGCTTGCCTTCTTATTACAACACTTTTAGATGTATGATTAGAGGCAAAGATAGTATAGTGTCTCTTAAAGATTTTTTTATCTCAGTTACTTGCTAAAAAAGCCTCTCTTGAGCACACTTGGTCTACATCTCCTTTTATTTCTGCAATGTTGGCTTAAAATCAGACATTTCAAAGTAAGGCTCTTGTTCTTGATGCAGGATCTTCTCCTTCTCATTCTCATTTTCAATTCAAGGATACTTTTTAAGCTTGAAGACCTTCCCATTTTCTCACCTTTCATCTAGATTCAATGGGGGGTTTTAATGGTCATCATGGAGGTTTTCATGGTTCCACGGGTGATTTTAATGATCCTAATGCCACGTTTACCAATAATGGCTACTCTAACAATAAAGGCTTTTATTTTAAAGGACATGGAAGAAGTTGTGGCCATTATCAATCTAGTCCACACCCTTATCAAGTTTCTTCTTCTAGTCCTGGAATCCTTGGTCCTAGTATTGACATTCCTATCTGTCAAATCTGTAGCAAAAAAGGCTATGTAGCTACTGATTGCTATCAACGACATAATCAATCTCTTTTTTTTTGCCTATTCAATTCAATGTCAGATTTGTTGGAAATTTTTCCATTTTGCTATCCAATGCTATCACAGAGGCAATTTTTCCTAATTAGGTAGACCACCTTCTACTAATCTTAGTGCAATGCATGTAAATTTTCCTTCTTCTACTTCCACTGAGCAATTTTGGGTTATTGAAACTAGAGCAACCACTCATATGACTTTTGATTTAGCTCAACTTAAACTAGCCACTCCTTTCAAAAGATCAAATACAATTGCTACTACAGATGGTTTAGGTTTGAGCATTTATAATGTTGGTTCTTCTATTCTAGATGTTTCATAGTGCTCATTCAAATTACCACAAGTTCTGCATGTGTCTAAGCTATCACAATACTTGCTATCAGTTTATGGGTTATGTAAAGATAAATATTACCAATTTATTTATGATGCCTTTGGTTTTTGCAATCTGGACAGCTTACAAGGAGGGTTCTTCTCTAGGGACTGTGTAAAGATGGTTTATATCCTATCCCTTTATCTACCCCACACTCTCAACTATCACAGTCCTTCTTTCTTTTAATGAATCAATTCTGCTATCTTAGTCACCAAGTAAAAACAAGTCTCTAGCACAAGTATTTTGGCCATCCTTCTAATAAAATCACTTTAGCCCTTTTACATCAATCTAAGATTCCTTTTACTACAGACCATTTCAAATCTGTCTGCACTACTTGTTTAGAAGGCAAATTTGTAAAACTTTCCTTTCTTTTATCCAGCAATCAAGTCTACAACACTTTTAGAAGTCATTTATAGTGATGTGGGGGGGTTCTTCTCCTACTATTTCTATTTATGGTTTTCAATACTATATTAACTTCACAGATGAATTTATTTGGTTCACTTGGATTTTTCTAATGAGAAATAAAGGAGAAGTTTATTCCATCTTTGTTTCATTTCATGCTTTCTTGGTCACTTAATTTTCTATCAATCTACGTATTTTTTAGAGTGAAGGTGATGATGAGTACCTCAATCATTCCTTCAAGCACTATCTCTTTACTAAAGGCATTATTCATCACATATCTTGTCCATACATCCCTGAACATAATGGTTTTGTTGAGAGGAAGCATCGCCATATTCTAGAAACAACAATCATTTTATTACAAACTGCCCATCTACCTTCTAAATTTTGGTTTCATGCTTGTACTACTTCCATCTATTTGATTAACTAGATACCTTATCCAATTGTTTAACTCAAATCCCCTTATCTTTTACTGTATGGTTCTATACCTGTCCTCATTCATTTAAAGATCTTTGGTTGTGCATGTTTTCCTCTACTTAAGCCTTATAATACTCACAAACTTTAGCCTAAAACTTCCACCTGTATTTTATGGGATATGCAAGTCAATACAAGGGATATATTTGTTTTTCTCTTCTTACTAATAAATGCTTTGCAACTCATCATGTCATCTTTAATGAATCTGTATTTTCATACACTTCTATGCCTATAGCTTCCTCTTCTCCTTATCATTCATCTCCTCTTGTTCGACCTTTTATTTCATTGCACAATGCGCTATTACCTACGTACTCTACTTCATCATCCATCATGAGCCCTGCTGCTTCTTTGAATACATTGCCTTCACCTATCATTTCTTCAACTCTGTCAGGTTTGGGTTTTGCTACACAAGTTTCTACCCTATAGGATCCTAATTTTTATCCTGAAAATCTTTGTGTCTTGCCTCTATCCCCTATGAATCTTCACCCCATGACAAACAGGTCCAAGAATGGTATCTAAAAAAAAAAGGCTTATTCTACTATTGTTTAATTTATTGACTTTTCTCGAGTTGAACCAAGTTCATTTAAGATTGCCTCTAAAATTACTGCATGGTAGTCTGTTATGCAAGAAGAAATTGATGCTTTTTAAGCCCAAGGTACTTGGGATTTTGTTCCCCTCCCACATGCCAAGAATTTTATAGGTTGTAAATGGGTTTATTGTATCAAGAAAAATACAAATGGCTCTATTGCTAGGCATAGGGCATGCCTTGTTGCCAAGGGTTTCAATAAGGAAAAGGGCATTAATTATAATGAAACATTCAGTCCTGTAGTGAAACCTACCACTGTTTGGTTGGTACTGACCCTTGCAACTTAGTTTCATTGGATTTTAAGACAACTTAATGTTAAAAATGCATTTCTTCATGGAATTCTTCAAGAGGAGGTGTATATGACTTAACCATAATATTTTACAAGCAAGCTTTATCCGGACTTTGTTTACATAATCTGTAAGTTCTTATATGGGTTAAAACAGGCTCCTCGTGCTTGGAATGAAAAGCCTACCAGTTTCCTACTTAGCTTGGGATTTCAGGCTTCTCTTGCTAATCCTTTTTTATTTGTCCATCATTCCTCTCATGACACTGTGATATTGCTTCTTTATATAAATGATATTCTTCTCATAGGCAGTCATTCATCTCCCCTTACATCAGTTATTGATGCCTTAACTCAAGAATTTGATATGAAGGATTTAGGCTCGTTGACATAGTTTTTGGGATTGTAGGTTTTTTATTCTTCCTTTGACTTGTTTGTATCTCAATCTAAATATATCAAGGAATTGCTTGATCGGGTTGATTTACAAAATTCAAAGTCATGTGCCACTCCTTATCTTCCTTATCATCACCTACTTAAAAATGATGGTAAGCCTTATCCTCGTCCGCAACAATATAGGAGTATTGTTGGAGCTCTATAGTATCTAACCTTCACACGTCCTGACATTGTCTTCTCTATCAATCAAGCTTGCCAATTCATGCATAATCTCATGGAATCTCATGTTGTTGTAGTGAAATGAATCTTGAGATATCTCAGGGGTACTCTTGACTATGACATTCACTTTTAGCCTGGCACCCTTAATTTGCATGCATACAGTGATGTTTATTAGGCTGATGATCCTAATGATTGTTGTTCTATTTCTAGTTTTGTTGTTTACTTATGATCTAGTTATATTTCATGGGCTTCTAAGAAGCAACATATTGTCTCACACTCGTCTGCTGAGGCTGAATATAGAGCTCTTACTATTGCTACTACTGAGTTCACATGGATTCATCGACTGTTTTGTGATATGCATATTATATTACTTATTACTTTTTTTATTCATTGTGATAATATCTCCGCTATTTCTCTCGTTTCCAATCTAGTGTAAACACTCTAGGATGAAGTATCTTGAAAATGATTATAACTTTGTTATAGAACTTGTTATCAAAGGTACTTGTTCAACATGTTTGCTCTGCAGATTAGTTCGCTGGCATTCTCACTAAGGGTCTTTTTTCTCCATTGTTTCGTCACCATTGCTCCAATTTTATACTTGGTTCCTCCATGCATATGATTGCGGGGGAATATAAAGATATCAACAATCATGAACATGCCACATGTGCAGCAATTACAGAATGAAGTAGTTAAATACTATTAAATAATTAGAGTTGTTAATACTGTTAGGTAGTTAGAAAAGCTGTTAAACATTGAAGTAGCTAAAACAGTGAATATATTCATCTTCTTCCTTAACTGTCAACTATTCTCTCTACCTTCTTCATTTCTCTTCTTAAATCGGTAGAATTCTTTCATTCAATTTTGCTATCTTCATACCTGCAATCAGTAACAAATGCAAGTCAATGGTAAAGTTTCGGGTTTCTGCCTAAATGCACCATTTTCAGCCTAAAAGACATTGAACCCTAATTACACGCTCTTGCCATCTCAAAAAGGGGTAGCTGTGGAGTACCATGAAATGGGGATAGTAGTCAAGTGCCCATGAAAAGACAAGAATCCAATTGTAGATGAACCTAGGAAAAGCCAGCAATTTACAGAACAGAGAAAACTTCGTTCATCAAGAGTCAAAACAGAGGAAAGTAGCTGCTCTGTCCGAATACTGAGAGACAGTACACGCAGAAAAATGCTACTCTGTGTTACATAATCAACCTTTTACATAAAATTCTTTTATCAAGAGTTAGAACTTCTAGTTACAATTGAATTAAGTAACCAATTTTTCTTTTATATTTTTTCGTATCTTTTTTCTTTTCACACGAAAGCAGCTTATCGCGAGGTTCATAGAGGTGCGACAATAGGGACCAGAGTGGACTATCGATGCCTACAAACACATTGTAAAGTAAGATTAGGTGGGAAAGATTAGTTTTTGTTTTTTTTCTTTTTTTTTTTTTTTTTTTTGTTTTTCCCGCGCTGCAGCTTCTCCGCCCGCATCAAGACTAATCAGTGTTGGCAGGCGCCAGAAGGTTTATAAATTGCTCGACGAAATTTCTAGCAGAGTAATGTAAAGTAAGATTAAATAAAAATGAGTTTGAAAACTTATTAAAAACCTAAAAGAAACTTTAAAATTAAGATTTGAATTTTTTTCAAAATTTATTGAGTAAGAACTCCACATATAATTTATAAAATAAATCTTTAAGTTAAAGCTCCTTGCATAAATGTATTATTATTTTGTGTTTAATTTTATCAAATATAATAAATATGATAAGAATTAAATTTTTAATTATTTCATCGTAAATACTCTTATATTATTTAATGAATTATTTCAATTAAAAAATTTAAAGTATTAAATAAGACTTTAATATATAATTTATATAATTTTTTTATCATTTCAATATTAGTAAAATTTCTCCAGGGAACCATGAAAAATCCACTATGATGTGTAATTGTTTACTTTTGGTTTGTACTTGTTCCATCCTTAACACATAATTTTATTACAGTTTAAGCTTTTCTTCGATGCATATAGGGAAAATTGCATCAGAAAAAAAGATCATTCTGTTGGTTTTCAAGCCATAAGACTGTAGATTGTGGTACACGTTCTAGAGTTTTTAAACAATTAATTTAGCTAAAAATTCAGGATAAAGGTTTCGCTAAGATTATTAGTTTTGATTGAATTATTAAATTATTTATATTAATTATAATTTATTTTATAAATCAAAATAATATCATTTTAATAATAAAAAATTAATTAATTATAATTAAGTTTTTAACCGGGTTAACTAGTAATTTTAATCTAATTTTTGTATTTTTGTAGATACAAATGTGTGTGTATATATATATTATTTTAATATATTTTTAAATAAAATACATTTTAAAATATAAATACTACTGAACTATCGGACACCACTTGTAAACTATCTCTAAAATTATCTCTTGGTCAAGGTTGCCTGCAAACCTTTCCGCGAGATTCCTAGGAAGAGAATGGGTATGTTCTCTAATTCTTCCCAGAAAAGGGGGACACATAGCACTAATTATTATATCGTAACTTTTACTTGCTTTCTCTAATTCATCAAGCAGAGACGTAGGAGCAGACAAATAATCTGTCTGCTAGGCGTGAAGGAAAAGCTTCAAGGAGAGACGATTTTCACAGAAGTAGAGATTTATTGGCATCAAAATTCAGGTATGCTTCTCCAAAATACCTTTATTTCTTTATCAATTTATTAATATTCAGGCTTGCTTGTATCTGCTCCTAGAATTCTTTGTAAACAGTAGTTCTTTTACGCTAAAAAATAAATAAACTGCCCTGTAGTGAATGGTCTAAACAGTAGTGAATAAATAAATAAACTGCCCTGTAGTGAATGGTTTCCAAGAAACTAGAACATAGAGCTTCTTTCATGAAATTATTAACCAACAAAAAAGATTTAAATTATGAGCATTATAGGAATATTTTTCTCTTCACAAGTTTTAGAAGCTATTCTTGTAGAGGTTTAGCTGGTGTTCCACTAGGTTAGAAGACGAGGATTCTTGAACATTACTATGGCCGGAACGTCGGATTTGAACATGCTTTTGAGCGAGTGATTATCCCACACCTCGAGCCACAATGGTGTGTTAATTTATGCTTTAACTGTCGGAATCAGACAGTAAACTGTCCATTATATTGTAGTTGTAGGCTTTTGATTAATATATTTTCCATAGGCCTGTCGCTCAAAGTTTTCCCTCAGAAGGAGCGTGCTATGCAACTAGCGAAGAAAAGGAAAACGGTGATAAAGTTGCATTAAGAAATCAAGTTCTTGACTGAATCTCTAACAGCTTCCGGCCTTAAAATTTTGTAATCCAATATGGCTTCTTCCTTTAACAGCACAAATTGTTGGATGTACAGTGTCTTCTTGATTTTCAGGGGCCAAGAGACCCACATTACTTTTACTGCCCATCTATATCATGCTCTGTGCAACAAAGGAATTAATGCTTTCATCGATGAAAAGCTTGAGAGGGGAGAACACATTACTTCTCAACTCAACCAAATTATTGAAGACTCGAGAATCTCCCTTGTCAAATTCTCTGAAAACTATGCAAGATCTATTATTGTCTGGATGAGCTGGTGAAGATACTTGAATGTAAAGAATCAAAGGGGCAAGTTGTTTTGCCTGTGTTTTATAATGTGGATCCTTCAGATGTGGAAGAACAAAAGGGTAGTTTTGGAGAATCCCTGGATTTCCATGAAACTTATTTGGGGATTAATGGAGAGCAGCTCAAGCAATGGAGAGAAGCTCTAACAAAAGCAGCTCAATTGTCAGGGTGGCATTTAGACAGGGGGTAATGCTCCTATCAGATACCTGGCTTGTTAACCTTTTCAAACAAATAAAATCTTATTAGTTCTTTCTTATTTATGGCTGTCTAAGCATACTAAATCTTCTTCTGCTAATTAAAACTTTGCAGGAATGAGGCTGTTTTTATTCGGAAAATTGTTGAAGAAGTATGGACACAATTGAACCACACGTCCTTACATGTTGCGGCATACCAAGTTGGATTGGATCAACGTATTGAAGAACTCATTCATATGCTAAATATTGGGTCAAGTAATGTGTGTATGGTATGTTGGGAATTCCGATCGGTGATATTCTGATATTTGCTTATAGGAGGGCTAAGCACACTGACACAGTATTTATATGGTTCGACAAAACCGTCTACATCCACGGGAGAGAGTCTATATTATTAGAGATTAGAGAAAAAATACAAAACAAATATATAGAGGAGAAAGATCACTTCTCTCTACTCTACTCCGAGCTCTCTTTGCTGCACTTGCAGCTCTCTCTTTCTCTCTACTCTCTTCACATTCTCATAAAACTCTTCACGTTTTGCTCTTTAACATATGCCTCTATTTATAGGCATTCATGAAGGCTCTTCTTGGTTTGTTGTCAACATTAGTGGCCACCAACTCTAGCTCATTCAACAATGGTGGCTACTAATAATCAATGCTCAATGGTTGACGCCTTACATGAAATGGCAACCAACCTAACATGGTAGGAATCCGTAGACTTGGTGGAATTGGTAAGACAACTGTTGCCAAAGCTGTTTACAACCTAATTACTAATCAATTTAAAGCTTGTTGTTTTCTTTTAAATGTTAGAGAATTCTCAAAGAGATATGGTCTTGTTCACTTGCAAGAGAAACTTCTTTTGGAGATTCTAGGGGATAAAACTTTAGTACTTGGAAGTGTTGATGAGGAATTAATGTTATAAAGGATAGGCTTCGCCATAAAAAGGTGCTTATAGTCATTGATGATGTTGATCATTTGGACCAACTCAAACAACTAGCTGGAGAGCGAGATTGGTTTGCCTTGGGAAGCAAAATTATCATAACAACTAGAGATGAACGTTTGCTAGTTGTTCACGGGGTGGAACGCTTACTTAGGGTGAAGGAATTATGTTGTGATGATGCCCTTATGCTTTTCTGTTGGCATGCCTTCAGAAATTCTCATCCTCCTATAGATTACTTGGAGATCTCAGATCAAGTAGTGAAAATATGCCAAAGGCCTACCACTGGCTCTAGTTGTACTGGGTTCTTTTTTGTATGGAAGAAGCATACCTGAATGGGAAAGCGAATTGGATAAACTAAGAAGAATTCCTAATAAACAAATTTACGAAGTATAAAGATCGATGGGTGGCTTGGAACACAAAAAAAAGATAGAATTCACCAAAAGGGGCCATTGAAGAACCTAGCCACACTCGAAAAAGAAGAAGATAGAATTCACCAAAAGGGGCCATTGAAGACCCTAGCCACACTCGAAAAAGAAGAAGATAGAATTCACCAAAAGGGGCCATTGAAGACCCTAGCCACACTCGAAAAAGAAGAAGATAGAATTCACCAAAAGGGGCCATTGAAGAACCCTAGCCACACTGCTAGTTATTTTCTGAATAAAATTATTCTACCAAAATCCTGATATCATAAATGTTATTGGGAGTGGGATATCCAAAATAGTTACCACCTTGGCTTGATCAACCTACGAACCTTATTAAAAAAAACAAAACCCTAAAGGTAATATTATTAGTAAGGAATAGGCATAGTCATGCCTTAATGTACCAAAAATAGCCTGCAGGTGCTCCAAATTAGCACGACTATGCCTATAAATGGTTTCAACACCTGGTGCATGAACCAAATAAAGGTGCATTGAACAATCCAAATCACATCATCATCTACTCATACAACTCTTGTTGTATCTTAAACGCCATCTTCCACTCTTTTTCTTCTTTCTTTTTTGATAAAATCGTAGAATCAGTCTGCTAAGACAATATGTTATCCAAACATGATATGGGATACATGTACTTCCTTTAAGGACGTGTTCAACGTGCCATCTTTCTTTGAGAACAAGAAAGGGTTAGGAGCGTAGAGGCTGTGGCCCAATTATTAGAATTCAAGTTTTATTATATATATTTATTATTTTTATAATATTTTATATCTTTACTAGATTTGTAGAATGTTTATAAAAAAAAATTTATACCATTTAGGATCTAATTGACAGAATTTATAAATATACTGTCTAAGATTGAATTGGTAATGATTATATAAATTTCTGCACTAAATTAAGATTTTTCCAAGATAAAGGACACATTTGCTATTGTAATAAATTAAAAATAAATTTTAAAAAATATTAATAAAATATTATTTTAATAAATTTTAAAATAAAAAACAATTTAAAAAACAATCTATCATTCTTTAAACGTCCCTCTATAAAATATCGTAAAATGCCCACATTTGTGTTAAGATTCACAAACACGGTGCTGCTGCCTTGTTGATGCGCCAACTGTAAGAACCGTACTATGGTCCCATTCACATAGCTACCAAGATTCCAGATGCATTAGAGCCTTTGAACACGGTGAAGCCCCGTTACAAAAAAAAAAATAATTAAAAGACTGTTCTGTTTTTTTTTTTTAAATAATATTTTTTATATTTTTAAATTATTTTAATATATTAATCTCAAAAATAAAATAATATTATCTTAATAAATTTTTAAACTAAAAATATTTTAAATCATAACAATTACCACAATCTCAAATAAATCCTTAAATTCTGCTTATTAAATATAAATTAAAAAAAAACAAAACCCTAAAGGTAATATTATTAGTAAGGAATAGGCATAGTCATGCCTTAATGTACCAAAAATAGCCGATATAATTGAAAAAATTGAAAAAAATTATGAAAAAAATAAAATAATATATCAGTTTCATGTTTTTTTATAAGATAAATATATTTTTAAGCAAATCTAAAAACGAAGTTATCATATTTCTAAATGGATTCTTCATAATATAATATAATATGTAAATCCAAAATCTAACCTGGTCGTTAACAGTAGAAAAATCATATTTTTATTATTTAAAATGATATTATTTTTTTAAGAAAATTAAAAATTTAATATACATAATCTCAACACATAACCCGTTAAGGACGTGTTCAACGTGCCATCTTTCTTTGAGAACAAGAAAGGGTTAGGAGCGTAGAGGCTGTGGCCCAATTATTAGAATTCAAGTTTTATTATATATATTTATTATTTTTATAATATTTTATATCTTTACTAGATTTGTAGAATGTTTATAAAAAAAAAATTATACCATTTAGGATCTAATTGACAGAATTTATAAATATACTGTCTAAGATTGAATTGGTAATGATTATATAAATTTCTGCACTAAATTAAGATTTTTCCAAGATAAAGGACACATTTGCTATTGTAATAAATTAAAAATAAATTTTAAAAAATATTAATAAAATATTATTTTAATAAATTTTAAAATAAAAAACAATTTAAAAAACAATCTATCATTCTTTAAACGTCCCTCTATAAAATATCGTAAAATGCCCACATTTGTGTTAAGATTCACAAACACGGTGCTGCTGCCTTGTTGATGCGCCAACTGTAAGAACCGTACTATGGTCCCATTCACATAGCTACCAAGATTCCAGATGCATTAGAGCCTTTGAACACGGTGAAGCCCCGTTACAAAAAAAAAAATAATTAAAAGACTGTTCTGTTTTTTTTTTTTAAATAATATTTTTTATATTTTTAAATTATTTTAATATAATCTCAAATAAACCCTTAAATTCTGCTTATTAAATATAAATTATTGAGTTATTTTTTATATTTATTTAAATTGTAAAATGTTTTTAAAAAATATAATTAAAAACAATTATAAAAAAATAAAATAATATATCAGTTTCATGTTTTTTTATAAGATAAATATATTTTTAAGCAAATCTAAAAACGAAGTTATCATATTTCTAAATGGATTCTTCATAATATAATATAATATGTAAATCCAAAATCTAACCTGGTCGTTAACAGTAGAAAAATCATATTTTTATTATTTAAAATGATATTATTTTTTTAAGAAAATTAAAAATTTAATATACATAATCTCAACACATAACCCGATTTTTGAGTGGGATTAATCCCGTATCAAGTCTTATAACTATTTATAAAAAGTTGCCCAGAGACAAGCCACCACCGAGTCTTTTCAAAGTAACGTAGGCGAGGAATTCTTCAAGTCTTTTGGTCATTGCTGTTACTATCGTTCTCAATCACAGATCATCTAACAGCACTTGGTCAACATTACTTGCAAACTGACTGCTAGTATGAAAATGGGTTACATTTTCAACATTTTCTTTCTTGTTGTTGCTTTCTTATTTACTTTTCCGACTTTTTCACATTTACGTTCACATTATTTATGTTCACCTCATGCTCTGGGCACCCGATGGCCTAAAGTGTTTTCTATATTTTACCTCCGGTATCTGGCTATCAGAAAGTTTTGATCCAATGGCTTCTTCCTCTTCCACTAATTGTTGGAAGCATGATGTATTCTTGAATTTCAGAGGCCAAGACACCCGCAACACTTTTACTGGCCATCTACACCAAGCTTTGTGCAACAAAGGAGTTCATGTGTACATTGATGACGAGCTTGAGAGGGGAAAAGAGATTGCTCCTGCACTCCTCCAAGCTATCGAGCAATCAAGGATCTCCATTGTTGTTTTCTCTGAAACCTATGCATGCTCTTCCTATTGTTTGGATGAGCTGGTGAAGATGATTGAATGCAAGGAATCGAAAGGGCAAGTGGTTTTGCCCGTGTTCTACAACGTGGATCCATCAGATGTAGAAGTGCAGAACGACAGCTTTGGAGAACCTGTGCTTCGTGCAGCTTCATGTGCTGCTGCAAGTATGGACAAGTTGCTGGAGTGGAAGGAAGCTCTAACAAAAGCAGCTAGATTGTCTGGGTGGCATTTGGACAACGGGTAAATTCTACCTTCTCCTCCACCTACCATTCTAATTCATGTGGAGAAATTAATTGTTTAATTTATCTGTTTAATTTGTCTTTGAAAATATATTTTTTTCTTTTCCAAATTTACTGTTTAGCTATTTGTCCCTAATTTCGAGGTTAATCTAGTTGTCAAGAAGTATGTTTCCGTCTTTGACTTTTTATATTCAAGTTTCAGGGAAATTTTATAGGTTTGATAAAAATAAAGATTTTATATGTATTTGAAAATATATTAAAATAATATTTTTTTATTTTTAAAAAATTATTTTTAATATTAACCTATTAAAAACGATTTTAAAAAATAATTTGAAATTAAAAAATAATTTTTTTAAATGTAAAAACAAATGGATTCATTGATAAAACTGTTAAGATAAGGTTAAAAGCATATTTTACTTTTATTGTGGTTGCAAAGGCTTGATTTATCGATTTGATCTATTATGTCATTAAACTGTTATTTTCTAGAGAATAAATTAAGTTCTTTCTTTAGTTAAAACTAATAAAAATAACAGTCAAACTTCAACCTGTTGACGTTATATATTTAGAGCATTTTAATAGACAATCAAACTTTGACCCCAATGTAATAATTAAATGAATTAATTTCACTAGGAGACAACAAATTGAATTGATCATTCAAACCTTAGGATAAAATATGATTTTAAACCATGAATTAATACATGGTGTGATGCTCTTAAACTCTTAAAAGGCAACCACAGAGAAGTTAGAAACAACAGTTGAGCTACTGCTTAATCGCCAGCATTTAAACTAGTAAAAAATCGATTTTAGTCTTCTTTGATTGTGGTAGGAGGCCACAATTACAAAGATCGATGGGTGGCTTGGAACACGAAAAAGAAGAAGATAGATTCACCAAAAGGGGCCATTGAAGAACCGTAGCCACACTGCTAGTTATTTTCTGAATAAAATTATTCTACCAAAATCCTAATTTCATAAATGCTATTGGTAGTGGGATATCCATCATAGTTACCACCTAGGCTTCATCAACCTACGAACCATATAAAAAAATAAACCTAAAGGTAACATTATGAGGAAGGAAGAGGCACTAGTCATGCCTTAATGTACCAAAAATAGCTAAAAAAAAAAAAAAAACCTAAAGGTAACATTATTAGTAAGGAATACGCGCTAGTCATGCCTTAATGTACCAAAAATAGCTTGCAGGTGCTCCAAATCAGCACGACTATGCCTATAAATGGTTTCAACACCCGGTGCATGAACCAAATAAAGGTGCTATAGGTGCATTGAACAATCCAAATCACATCATCATCCACTCATACAACTCATGTGGTATCTTAAACGCCATCTTCCACCCTTTTTCTTTTTTGATAAAGTCGTAGAATCAATCTGCTAAGACAATATGTTATCCAAACATGATATGGGATACATGTACTTCCTAGTGATTTGGTTTAAGGACATGTCCAACGTGCCATCTTTCTTTGAGATCAAGAAAGGGTTGGGACTAGCTATATAGGGACTCACACACTCTATAATATACTCTTTCTCCAACAACTCTACCACCTAGCATTGCAGCTCATTAGACTTCTTGAGACTCGGTTTGTATTCTAGTCTATTTTGTACGCAGCCTGCTTTTGAGTATCCTCAGTTATAAGTTCTTGAATGTTTTCTTCCTGAGACATTAACGCCTCTTCAAGAAAATGTTTCCTTCCGTATTAACCATGTACTACTCTACAACCTCCTCCGGTAATAGTTATTCAACAAATCCTCCTGTTTTAGAGAATAGTTTGAAATCCATTCACAACATATTTAAAATTGGATAACCAAACGATGTTGCGGTGATCGAAAATGATGGATTTGTTTCATGATATTATTAACTTAAATTTAAGTTTGATCAAGTATTGAATCTCTTTCCGGTTAGCTTTGGCCATGCTCATTACATGATTCTCACAATTTAAATATCCAGGAATGAGGCTAAAACTATCCAGAGCATTGTTGAAAAGGTCTTGGCTATATTGAACCGCGCATTCTTACATGTTGCCGATTACCCTGTTGGACTTGATTCCCATATCCAAGATTTGAATTGTCAGTTACGCCTCGCATCAAATGATGTTTGCATGGTAGGGATTTTGGGAATTGGTGGAATAGGCAAGACAACTGTTGCCAAAGCTATTTACAACGAAATTGCTAATCAGTTTGAAGGTAGCAGCTTTCTTGCAAACGTTAGAGAAATGGCAAAGCAAAACAAGGTTGTTGAACTACAACAAACACTTCTTTCACAGATACTTGGAAATAAAAATTGGTCTGTTGGAAATATAGATTTTGGAATCAGTGTGATAAAGGACAGGTTGTGTAGTAAAAAGGTTCTTATTGTTGTTGATGATGTGGATAATGTGGACCAGTTAAAAAGACTAGCTGGAGAGCCAGATTGGTTTGGTGCCGGGAGTAGGGTCATTATTACGAGTAGAGATGAACATGTGCTTGTTTCCCATGGAGTAAGATTTGTGCATAAAGTGGAGGAACTATGTCCAGGTGATGCTTTTCAACTTTTTAGCTGGCATGCATTCAGAAATTCCCAACCCAAGGAGGAGTTCATGATGCATTCATGCGATGCAGTAACTTATGCCAAAGGCTTGCCATTAGCTCTTGTTGTGTTGGGTTCTTTTCTGTATGGTAGGAGTGTACATGAATGGGAAAGTCAATTAGATAAATTGAAGCAAATTCCTAATAAAAAGATATATGAAATACTCAAAATAAGTTACGATGGCTTGGAGGATGGCACTCAAAAGGCCATTTTCCTTGATATTGCGTGTTTCTTTAGAGGAATGGACAAAGACTATGTGATGAAAGTGTTCCTTGCATGCGATTTCAAGCCAATTATAGGAGTCCAAGTTCTTATTGAGAAGTCTTTGATAAGTATAGAGAATAATAAGCTGCAGATGCATGATCTACTACAAGCAATGGGCAGACAAATTGTTCAGCAAGAATCTCCCAATATACCAGGCAGGCGCAGCAGATTGTGGTTTCATGAGGATATTGCTCATGTATTGACCGAAAATATGGTGAGTGTCGCGTATACTTGCGAGTATGATCTTATGAACAATACTTCGAAGGCAACCCATTTTTCTTCTCCTTGGTAACAATATGAATGCTTTGACTCATTTCTGATACATTGTATGCGTATCCTTTTAATTTTCAGGGAACAGATGAGATTGAAGCAATAATGCTAGACTTCCATGAACCAGAAGAGATGCACTTGAGTGCTAAAGCATTTAAGAAGATGAAAAGACTTAGAATACTTATAATCCGCAATGCTTTGTTAACTGTGGCTCCTGTATATCTCTCAAATGAGTTGAGATGGCTTGAATGGCCTGGGTGTCCATTATTGTCACTGCCATCTACTTTTCATGCAAGAAAACTTGTTGTTCTCAACATGCAGCATAGCTTCATCAGCCACTTCGAGGGATTCAAGGTTTTAAACTATTAGAGGTTTCTTTCTACAAATTATATCATCAACTTATCAGAAACTAATACCTTTTCTGTTTCACAGAATTACAGTTGCTTGAAGTTTATGAATTTCAGTGGTTGCGGGTTCCTAAAAGAAACACCCGACTTCTCAACCATCAGGAATCTTGAGAGGTTGAATCTTGAAGGGTGCGCAAATTTGGTTGAGGTTCATCAGTCTGTTGGATATCTTGATAAACTTGAATTCTTGAATGTTGAATTCTGCTCTAACCTCAGAAGTCTTCCCCGAAGAGTCAAATTGAAATCTCTTAACACCCTTCTTCTTTCAGGCTGTCAAGTGCTTGAGGCGTTTCCTGACGTCGTTGAAAAGATGCAATGTTTGGAGAAACTTTGTTTGAGTGGAACTGCAATAAAAGCGCTTCCTTCTTCCATCAAAAATATATCTGGACTTAAAGTCTTGACCCTGACATTTTGCAAAAACCTTGCCGATCTTCCTAATAGCATTTATAAACTTACACATCTTGAGTGTCTGCTTCTTGAAGGTTGCTCAAAACTTGACAAGTTTCCAGTGAATGGGGAGAATGAGGTACCATCAAATTTCCTTACATCTTCAAATTGTTATGAAAATTCCTCAGGATCGGACTTCCTTCCGGCTCAAGCGAATTCTCTTGATGGATCTTCCTCATTGGGATTTCCTTCGTTAAGATGGCTAGATCTACGAAACTGCTGTCTAAGAAATGTCAATTTCTTGAAGATGCATGATTGCTTTCCCATGTTGAAGGAATTAGATTTGTCAGGAAACAGTTTTGCTATCTTTCCAGAAACACTCTCGCTATTTACTCACTTGAAGAGCCTCAGGTTACATAAATGCAAGAAGCTTCAAGAAATTCCAGAGCTTCCACGGAATATTAAGAGACTAGAAGCAAGAGATTGTGAATTGTTGGAAAGATATTCACCATTAGAGAAGGAAGGTGAATGGCCAGCCAAACTTCGCGTTGTTGACTTCTCAAACTGCCACAAACTAGCTAAAAACCAGGGAAAGAATTTGGAGGATGCATTCTTTAGTAAGGTTGGCTTGCCTGCAAACTCAAAATGTTGATATCTTCTGTTCTCTTTCATCTGTTTCTATCTCTTTCTGCACAAATGTGTTTGTGACTATGTATGCTTGCTATTTGAATTTGTTGATAAATGGTCATGTTGAACCAAATTTACCATCTCAGATTTCATTGTTGCATTCACCTTATATCATGAACAGCGTTAACCACAGAAATGTTACTTTATTTTTTTGTAACAGGCATTTCATAAGCAATTTCAAGTTGAAATATTCCTTCCTGGAAATAAAATTCCAGAATGGTTCGCGTTTACTAGTGAACAGGGCTCCTTGACTTACCTTGTACCTTCCTCTGTTTTCGAGAAAATCCAAGGACTGGTTATCTGCTCCATTTTATGTTTAGAGGATGAAGTGACAGCAAATATATCGTGTGAAATGTTTGTTGATGGGAAAAGCATGATTTTGTGCTCAAGACATTTCTTTCCATTGGAGACGGATCATATGTGGTTATACTACCAGCCATATTGCTATACTAGAGCCTTGGGTACAGCAAGAAATGATTTAGTTCGCTTTGAGATTTCATTTGAAGTCCTCGGAGCACCAAGGGGTTCGGCGTTGAAAATGTGTGGGATCTATTTTATATACAAGCAAGATAAGACAGTGAGTGATCCAAGTTCCACTCAATCCACAAGTTATCACACAGACCACTCTGTTTCATTTGATCTCATGACAAGTTGCTACGTAGATGACCCCGACTTCGCTTTGAGTCCTAGTATGAACAGGAAGCGGCCAGCATCATCAGATCTAACTGAAGGATGCAACAATGATGACTTGGAACTCAGTTTGAATCCAAAGGTGAGCAGAAAAAAAACTGCTGATAATCAGCGTGGGGAGCAGTTTTCTTTTTCTCTGCAGCCAATGGATCAGAAGCCGGGTAACCCTTTGATATCATCCAAATCTGGGGAGCATCAACTGGAGCATTGGCTTTCTTTATCTTTGCAGCCAATGGATGTGAGTAATTGGAATCCAATGTGCATCAAGAAATTAGAGGAAAAAGTTCAACTTCAACCAAAGAGCAAGGAAACAATGAGTTTCTTTAATGAGCTTGGCGGGACTCCCATCAGGGAACAGGCTGCAGTAGAAGAATATGAAACTGAAAAAGATGAGACATATATTTCTGATGTTGAATCTCTGGCTTGACTGATACCAATATATACCTTCATGAGAAACCGAGATGGTAAAGGATCTACGAAAGAATGAAGCAGAAAAGGAGTTTCTTCTAATATCTCAAGCACTGAAGTTGCTGCTAGTCGAAGCTCAGTGATGGCAGTCCCTTGGTCAAAAAGATCAATGGATGATGAAGAGGTGTTAATTTATGGAACACAAAGCATGAGGTCGCCAAAAGGAGAAGAACCTTGCTACCTTGGCTATTGATGAATTTGGTGATGGAGAGTCCCATTCTGATGCAGTTGTATGGTTTACTTCTTCGCTGAGACGTCAGGGGACAGATGAGATCGAAGGGATTGTGACAGATTTACAAGAACCAGAAGACATGCAATTGAGTGCTGAGGTCTTTAAGAAGGTGAAAAGGCTTCGGATAGTAATAATCCGCAAGGCATTGTTCAAGGATGGTTCCTGTAAATCTCCCAAATTCGTAAAGATGGCTTGAATGGCCTGGATGTCCTTTATTGTCAACGTCACCTGCATTTCATGGAAGAGAACTTGTTGTCCTCGAGATGCAGCATAGCTTCATCAAGCAATTTGAGGGATTCAAGGTTGTATCTCTTGGTGCTTCTCTCTTTAAATCCTAACAAAAACTTATTCTAAATACATGATTATTCAAGCACCAAATAGAGGATGAATCTAGAAGTTTGCATGAACTTATTTTATATTCGTCAATCTGTTGGTTTTATTAGTGTACTTCAATTTTAAAGCCTTGAATTCTGCTTTAACCTTAGAATTCTTCCTAGCAGCTTCAAATTGAAATCTCTCGACACCCTTCTTTTTACCGCCTGCAAAAAACTTGAGGTGTTTCTAAAATTTGTGGAAAAGATGCCATGCTTGGAGAAGCTTTATTTAATGTGTTCATCAATTGAAAATATAACGAGGCTTGAAGTCCTAACTGCAACATATTGCAATAACCTTGCCAATATTCCAGCAGCATTTATAATCTAAGTCATCTTGAGCTTTATCTTCTTGAAGGTAGCTCAAAAACTGGCAAGTTTCCAGTGAATGGACAAGTGAGGAGCATTCAAGTTTCCCCAGGTCTTTGAATACAGAGTGTTCAACAGGATCCAGCTACCATCCTTTTCGTTCTCCAAGAAGACTTGCAGCTCCAAGCAATTTTTTGTGGATATATAGCTTTTCCTCGCTGTGGTGTCCTATATTAAGATATCTGGATCTGCAATACTGCAGTGTAATCGATGTCAGTTAAATGACAATGTCGAAATTTATTTTCCATGTTCATGGAACTAGATTTGTCAGGAGACAAGTTTTACTCCCTCAAATATTTTCCACATTCACTAACTTGAGAAGCCTCAAATTATCCGAATGCAAGAAACTTCGATAAATTTCAGAGATTCCATGGGACGATTAAGAGACTACAACCAAAAGATTGCAAATTGTTGGAGACAAATATGCGATTACCCAGGAAAGAAAATTAAGTGGCTAACTATTAAGTTTCTCAAAAAACATAAACCCCGTGAAACCAATAATTTTAAATGAGTCCCACGAATCCTATTAAACAGTTATGCATTATTCAAGGTTTAAGTGAAAATTATTTGAAATACAATTCATCCTTTTAGACTTTGATCAACTCTTCATAACTGGATTGTCGCAAAACCTAGTTGTCAAATTGTTTAATATTCATTCACACAAAAGATTTCTGTTATTTGCAGGACGTGTACGTATATGACTAATTAAGAAACAAATGTTGGAAACCAATTGCAGAAGCCAGATAAACAAAGAATTTGTTACTGAAAAACATTGTGGTTCACAAGTAAAGAAGGCAACACTATAAGAATCATAAATATAAGTTAACGGTCGATACCTTCCTGGAGGTGTGTCTGAATCTTAATCATCATTATAAGAATTGGTCCTCTATGAGAAGCTGAGTTAGTTCCACTATGAAAAGTTATGAATTTTTTGAGTTATTATTATGATTTAACATAACTAAACTTTATTTTGGGTGTAAACCTATCCTTTTAGTTATTAAATACATTTATTTGGTCATTCATGTAATTTATCTGAGACAAATCCTCATCTAATTATGACATATTTATATCTAATTATTTAGAATCATTTGTTATGGCAGACTAACTATATTAGAATTCCTCTACTCCCCTCAAGCTTCCTGCCTTTGTAATAATTCTCAAAGATAATCCAGCACATTCCCTTGCAATGGCTACTGCAATTAGTTCCACTTCTAGAGAAATAGCTATGTCCAAGTTCCTCCATTAGCAATGTCCATGCTTCTCCATCAAAAAGTGGCATCACTTTGATTTCGTGTTGGCAGTTCATCCGGTAACAAACCCTTTTTGATCGAGTTATGATAATTGGCTTACATCTGTTTAATTGGAAAGAAATTCCTACTTTGTCTAGCTTAAAACAATTCCACAAATCATCTAAAATAAAACATTATCTTTTCTTGATAGATCTAAGTTAACACTTTGTCTAGCTTAAAAGAATTCCACAAATCATCTAAAATAAAAATTCTTTTTGTTTTTTTATTAGTTTTTTTGACAAGCTAGCAGCTCTACTTTAATCATTATCTTTTCTTGATAGATCTAAGTTAAGTCGTTTAGCAATAAGATTTTTCAATGTATTAATGTTGAAATCTCGAGACACGATCACCCAATAAACATGATGAGAAATGTCTAATCTTTTTATAAACTTATTACGGATATGTTACAGCATTGTTGTTTTATCAACTCCCCCATCCCATAAATAACAGTTAAGACTTCATTATCCTTTAACTAGGATCATATTTTATTCCTATTCTCTTATAATGCTCGACCCACTAGCTTTGTAGAGCTAGTAGGTAACATATCTCCTGTAGTCTCACTTGTGTAGTATTTAAGGCCTCCAGAAGAGCTAGCTCCTGCACCAGGCTGCATGAATCCCGTGGCTGGGTTTTCTATGTTATTGCCAATGACATTATCCACCGCGGAAGAAGAAGAGAAGTCACAGACTCCTCGTTCACACTCTTGACTTGCTTGCTCTGTTATTGGTCTAGTCTCCAGTGCATTATGCATAGGTTCAATCCCTCCAAGTACCTCATTCATAATGACATCATTGTTTACTGATGGAGAACAGAGTTGCTCTGTTATTGGTCTACGCTCCGATGTATTATGCACAAGCTCAATCCCTCCTCTAATGAAATCATTTGCCCATGCATGTTCTCCAGTGAAAACAGCTTCTCCTTGTTGTGCCATGTCTACATGTGTCCCTTCATTGTTCTGTTCTTGTGCGTTAGGGACCTCGTTACTGCTTGAGCCTGCTACAGTTTTAAGCTTTTTTTTCTCTGGAGCGCCAATTGCTACAAGGGCTGCATCTTGAACTTCTTTTGGAACATCTTCACAAATTTTAACACCACGCCCTTTCACTCCTGACAAATGGAATTTGATCCTCGAGATGGAAGTACCTTGGGCAAACAATTGCCCACAAAGCTTACACGTCATTCTACCATCATCCATATTTTCAACATATGCACTGGAAGATCTGTCAGCATGACGCCAAACTGGATCATTTGGTCGAATCATTTTGCGCATGGCTCAGCAGAAAAGAAAAAACAAAAAGAACATCAACATCATTCCAAAATAAATAATTTGATTGAACCATTTTATCCTATAGAAAAAACTAGTTATCTACCCGCATGTCGCGGGATAGTTATCAAAATCTATTACATAGTTCTTTAATAATTAAAATAGATATTTATACAAAATGTTATAATTTAGACAATGCTTCCTTATAGTAGCTTCGGTAGATGAAAGATTTACTGCATATAATTTATTATTTTCAGAATTATTATTTCTTAAATATTTCATTCAAATCCCTTTTTCTTTTTTTTTCAGTATATTGTAGGAAAATTAAATATAATTTCTTTTGAGTTTAACTTGGTTTTCACGATTATACTATAAATTTATTTTGTTTTTGATATTTCAAATTGTTGACAAGGTCTTGAATATATTAGAATGCACATTCTTACATGTTGCTGATTATCGTGTTAGGTTAGATTCTCATATGCATATATACTATATGTTAAGCAATGGATCAAATGATGTTCGTGTTAAATAATATATTTATCTTATTTTATGTATTAAGAGTAAAATAATATTTTTAACTTAACCTATATATAAGCTCTTTGTATTTAGGTTAAAGTAAGAACTTTAATACAAATCAACTTAGGAGAATTCTAACCTCCTTCTCTTTTATGTTCATATTTATTTTTGAGTTAATTGAATTGTTTTAACATGGTATCAGAGTTGGTTTTATGGAATGAGGCTTAATAATAAATAAATAAAAATTGGAGTGATATTTTGTTTTATTTTTCTGCAAAATCTAGTATTTTGACTTTCCTTTAGCTTTTACAAATTGGTATTTATGTTTTGTCTCTATAATTGTTTTGGTATTTCATCTTTTGCAATTTGTGTTGTATTTTGAAGTAATTGTATGATTTTGAGAAGATATTTGTTGAGTATATGTGATATCTGTTCAATTTCTACAATCTAATACTTTGTATTTCGCTGCTTTTGTATTCTGTTTTTTTTATGTTAATTATGGCTACTGAAAGAGATGATTCATTTTAGTCTGTGAGTGTGAGGTTGGATGGAAATAATTATTCATATTGGAGTTATGTAATGAGAAATTTTTTTAAGGGTAAGAAGATATAGGGGGTATGTTAGTGGAACTTATATAATACCTAAAAATAATGAGGAGGGGGATGTTGTTTTAATAGATACATGGAAAGAAAATAATGCAAAGATCATTACTTGGATCAACAATTCTGTTGAGTATTTCATAGGTATGTAGTTGGTGAAGTATGAGATAGCAAATGAGGTTTGAGATCATTTGTAAATGTTATTCACGCAATCAAATTTTTCAAAACAATATCAATTAGAGAATGAAATATAAGCTGTTCAGCAGAAGAATATAAGTATTCAAGAGTTTTATTCTGCTATGAAAAATCTTTAGGATTAATTGGCTCTTACAGAATCGGTAGAATTAAAGGCATGTGGTGTCTATATTGAGCGTAAAAAACAGCAATGATTGGTACAATTTTTAATAGCACTTCACAGTGATTTTAAAGGACTTGGAGGTTCAGTTCTACATTATTCTCCATTTCCTTCTATTAACTCTATTGTCAATGAGTTATTGGCTGAAGAAATACGCCTTCAATCTTATTGTGAAAAGGGAATTCTTTCTGCTTTAAATCCTTCTGTACTAGCAGTATGATTAGTACTTAAAAGTGCATTTTT